ATCCCCTGAGTGGTACTAGATCCGTCTGGAGAGATAAGAGTCCTGATTTCATGGGCTAGCCAAAGGCAGTCAGTGAATAGGTCACATAAGCATTCAAACAGCCATCTCGGTATCGGGAATGGAGGTCTAATGCGGGGCCCATCCCTCGGGCGGAAGTAATTGTCGCAAGAGACTTTTCATCCCTTTTCCCTATTCATCTTCAACTGTGCTATGCTTCCTCTCTTGGTAACATTTGACGATCATTTTAAACCTTCTTGACTGCCTTGCAGTACATTTCCAGAACTCATAGTTTAGTTGAAACCTTATAATTTGAGAATCTATGAACCATTTTTTTGGATAGGAAAAAGCAATGTAACAATTAGCTTTCCGTGAAGTTTGTTTATTTTCTTTGAGACCCATTCATTTCCGGTTTTTTCGGTACAACCTTTTTTTCAATAGTCTGCAGGCGATTTACAACGGAGAAATTTTTGAGGAACACAATTGTGTTGGGCTTGGGTTTGAGCTACGTCCTACCAGAGGGTATCGGAGCGTGGGGTAAGGCAGAAGATAAAGAATGTTCCCATATAGGGAGATATGGGTCGGAACATTCCTCTAAAAGAGCCGGAATTGGGCCAGGTCACGTTACCTAGATGTTTGAGAATCGAGCTTGGCCTTCAATCAGTCGTCGATGGGTGATGACGAGGGCAACAGAGAGCTCCTCAAGCCGGAACTTCAGATTAAAGAACTCTGGGTTGCCCTCGCCTTGCATGACCTGTAGTTCCAAACTTTTCGTCCATTTTTGGGGACCTATATAGAAGGTTCTACCATTATGTTTTATCCAACCAATCCAAATTATCCTTAAATATCAAGTAGTATCTAGCATTACGACTAGTAAATATCAACTTCATGTCGTACAGCAGAAAGCAGAGCCAGCAGGGCAGATTAGGGACCTTCAACAAGGCCCCAAGTGGCATTTTGGATTTTTGGCGTGACGAGGTCTATGAAACTGTGGCTTAGTGAAATGGATGGAGCTAAAAACCAGGTTGACATGCAATAATCTTTTGAGCCCATGGAAATCTTGTCTGAAGAGAACTCCTTCTGCTTCATAATAAGGCCATCAGCTTTTCATGCTACGTCGCCCTTGCATCGAACAACTCAGGGAGTGAATTGATTGAGGGTGACATGGGCTAAGAGTATGCTCGTCGGAAGGAACCATAATTCAATTAGTGCAATCTTGCAGCGTCGATGATTGATACGGAAAAAGTTCGCGTTTACTTTACGAAGACCTCAAGAGGGT